AAGGCAAAAAAAAAAAAAAAAAAAAAAAAAAAAAAAAAAAAAAACACATCATAGTAAAATTAATACCTTCTCCGCTTCGCATCGAAGCTAAAATGTGTTATTTATTTTATTACCTTATCCTTATTATATTTCATTTATTTAGTACATAAATCGAAAGCGGATAGTTTAAATTAAAATGCATAGACATGAAAAACAACAACGTTTATAAAATGCAGACATCAGTGGTCATTAATATACGGTGACATCTTTGATGTTAGAAATATGCTTACCTAAGCGTCTAGTAGCCAATGATAAAATGCATAGAAAATGACTTATTATCTACAATCTATATAGACGTGCGGCCAATTAGTTTACGTTGGGTTTCATCCCCATTACATATTAGTTTATGTTAAGTTTTCATCATCTTTTTAATACATGTTACGGAGGAGGAGAAGCCTGTAGCGTTAATATTAAATAAATATGTTAAAGGAATAGTTAAGGACACGTGTGGTGGCTACTTAACGTGTACTATTCAATAAATAATTTACGTTTAAACGTATGTTTAACAGTTGACGTTATGAGTTAACCTGAAGTTTTAGTTTACACTATTCTCCAGTAGATGGTGCTGTAGGATTCTCCCCCACCCTTGCCATCGAGTTATAGTGCGCATGCGCACTATATTTTAAAGCCTCGCCATTTTGAATGAACCCAACCATTACCCGCTCCATTCAAGTCCACGCCTTTCAATTAGCCCCACCATCTAGAGATCACGCCACTCTTTCCCTGCCAATACTAATGCGGGGATAATGAGGGGTTTTGGCTGGGGGGCCGAGATTACCCATTTTCGCTACTTACATAACATAATATTTATTTTAACGTATGTTTAAACATATATTTACGGGACATTTTCAAAACTAAACTTGAAAAAGTTAAATTATGTGCATAAGTTGCTATTTTTAATCCCCTCTGGGTATGAAAAGGGATGGCGTAGGCCGCCCTGAAGTAATGCCTCATGGTAGTTCCAGGGCGGCCCACAATGATGCCGATCGTGTAAGATAAAAAAAAAGGGTATGAAAAGGGTCAGTTTTTTTAAAAATTTATATCAAAAGAGAGAGAAATACCAAAGGTTTTAATATAAATAAAAATAATTTTGATTCGTGTTATAAAATTAATTATATATATCATAAAGGTGATATTTCCTTATAAATTAGCTTATAACTAAAATTATAGTTAAAATATACTTGATCTTGTTCTTTTCATTAATTCAAATCTTAAAATTACTTACAGTACATAACTTTCCATTAGGATTGATTATGACAATCCTAGTATTCAAATAATCATTTAAACCTGGTCGGTTGACCAGCATAAAATGGAGGGTATCGATGCTATCTGACGATCGGAGCAGTGCATTAGGGTGGCTTGCAATTTTTCTAAGACTGTCAATAGTAAAAAGCAAGTCAAGGCAGAAAGACGCAATTATTTTTTTTTCTATCAATTTTACATAATAACTAAATGCATGAGTCCATATGCGCAGAGCTGCGATAGGCATTATTTACGTTACCGGAAAAAAGTGATGGTGTCGACGCACTGCGGTGGTCCTATTTTTATGTGCTGTCAGTAGTCCGCGAATGCCAGGACATAATATTCACAGAATAAACTACACAACACAACGCATATAGTATTACTTGTTTAATCAGCGTAGGCTACTCATGCAGTTAAATTCAAAAGACATTTGATATATTTTGCACAAGGTAAAGCATCATACTCTGTTTTATGATAATTTATGATTACAGTCCATTCACGAGTCTTAACTTTGGTCATCTTTGTGCCGTATAAAGAAAACATTGCAGAGACAATTTTTAAGAAGGCCGTTAAAAATCGACAATGAGTTATGCGTCAAATTGAATATATGAGATTCTGACAGAGGGATCTAAAGGAATTTGCCAATACCCGGATGAAAAATCTAATGAAATAAAATATTTTTTGTTATTGAACTTAGCAAGAATGTCATCAATAGGTGGGGATGAGTCTCGAGTAGGCACTATCATTTTATTAATTCGTCTTGCATCTAAACATAAACGAATCGAATTATCAGATTTTTGAATACACAGAATGGGATTACTATATCCTGAGTCAGATCGTTCAATGACACCCCAGTCTAATATTGAATTTAGTTCATGTAAGACTGCAAGTATCCGAGTAAAAGGAATGGGGTATAGCTTAACACAAAAGGGAGATTCATGAACTACATTAAATTTACAGGAATAAAATTTATTTTTACCTGGGCGATCTTGAAATAAATGAGTAAATTCATTAAGAAGCAATTTAAATTGAGATTTCTGTTCGAAAGTTAAGGAAATTTGTGTACTCTGTTCACTGGGCACTTGTTTAATAGAAATAGGGGAAACTAGTGTAGGAAATTTTGATCATTTATTGTGACAATATTAAGTGGCTTGTTGTTACTGGATTGAATAGATATTTGAAAAGATTTAAAAAATGAGATCTGTACACCCCACAAGGGAAAAGTCACTTGTTTGGGACTTATAGCCAATAATAGCCTGTTGTGAATGTAGACAATCATGACCAAGAATAATATTCTGAACTAAACTTGGGACAACAAGAAATATAGAATTTGATAAATTATTATTAATTTGAAAATTTAAGAAAACTTGTAGAGAAACTTTTTTACTTTTACCTTTAATAGCAGTGGATAGATGAACATTAGTAAGAGGAAAGACATTTATCTTATTTGAAAAATTATTTGTATGAGTATTATAAAATTCACTGGAAATTGCTGAAACGGATGCACCAGTGTCAAGTAGAACAGAGATAATTTCATTAAATAATTTTGAAGTGATTTCTGGACGAACAGGAACAGGGTTATTGGGATTATTTTGTAATGGGCGAGTAAGGAGACTAATAAAAGGGACTTTTGGATATAAACCGCTGTTAGACTCTATCTTTCTTGAGTGGGTCAATTGTCGTTTCCCGTATTTGGTTGAGTGTTCGACTGATTTTGGTTGTTACTATTTGAATAATTGTTATTAATGTTACACTTAATTATATGATGTTCAAATAACTAATCTAATTAACTTAATTTTTTAAACAATACTTATAATGATAGGTCAATTTTTTACGTCACAAACAGTTATAGAAATGAATGTTGAAGGAAGAAGAGGTAGAGGAAGACCAAAAAAGAGATCGTCCATCTCTTGGATGCTATTAAATGCGATTTGAGAACAACTGATGTGAGCGTAAATGATGTGGGAGATCATGTCAAGTGGAAGTTTAGGATAAGGGTGGCCGACCACAAGTAGTTGGGATTAAGGCGAAGAAGAAGAAGATTATACACTGGTTTTTGCAATGCATAATTCATAAAAGCATGATTCAGTAAATCATAATTTTAATATTATTATTAAAAACTGGTTCAAATGTTCCTAATATTCTTATTTTTTTTAAATTTTGCTAATTGAAAATGTTTACTGATAACTTGAAATTATAATTGAGATTATATATAACTTCAGATAAATAAAAAGTTAATATTTACTGTTTTACTGAATTTAAGAATTTTAATTTAACAATAAAAACCTTCCAAAATATTATAAAAAAGAAAAAATTAAGATTAAAATATCACGTGATTAATCAACATGGAGAGATTTTGAAATTTAAAGTTCAATGACTTTATCATAATGGAATGTAACTATGACTACTGATATATTTAAAATGATATTTTCTCTTTTTGAAATTTTCAATTTAAAAATTCTAATAAATGATAATTACGCAAGTAAAATCAACAAAAAAGCCAAAATTATGGGGCTCGTGTCGTATAGTTGTAGCGTTTTCTGTGTTTTTGGCAGCAATGCAATCTTCATTATTAAGAGACAACCTCGGATTAGCTTTACTTTGTATGTCTAAGCCATCTGGCAATTATACATGTGGATCAAATGATGCCGTTATACCTACAATACCTGGATACGATAGCAAAAAAAACTGCGAATTTGAATGGGACTTAACTCTCCGTGGTCGATTACTTGGTGGATTTTTTTATGGTTATATAATTACAACTATGGTAGGTGGATATATGTCTACAAGGTATGGACCAAAAACTCCTTTTATGTGGGGAGGAATTGGGAATACTTTTTTTCATTCTTTATGTCCTATCGCTGCTACTGTGCATACCGAATTATTTTTCGCGTGTCGTTTTCTACAGGGTCTGCTCTCCGGTTTGATGATAGGTCCTTTATTTCAACTTTTTAGTCCATGGACCACTGAAGAAGAAGCCGCTAGTTTGTTGAGTTTTGGCTTTAGTGGTTTTGCACTTGGTACTATTATTTCTAACCCATTAAGTGGAATACTTTGTTCATTTGAGTATAATGGTTATGGAGGCTGGCCTTTAATATTTTATGTACCAGCTAGTATTAGTGTATTCTTCATTATTTTCTGGTACCAGTATCTATATGACGTTCCGGATAATCATCCGAAAATTACACAAGAAGAATATAATTATCTTTTGGAGAATATAGACATATCAAATGAACCTGCAATAATTCCATGGTTGTCTATTTTCACGTCAATGCCGTTCATAGCGTACATCTTTTCATATACAGTGTTTATGTGGAACTATTTAACCATGATGAATAGTATGCCAATATTTATGCAAAGCATGTTGCACTTAAGTTCAAGAGAAAATGGATTGTTGAATTGTATACCGTATACATTGTCATTCATTGTTCGGTTATTTAATGCTCAAACATATTCTTTAGTGAGGCGGAATTTAAGATTATCAAATACCGTCGGAAGAAAACTATATCATACAATAGGATGCTTTTGCATAATAGTAGCTTATATTTATATGATAGCAGAAGAGAATATTACAAAGTGGAAAATAATTGGTGCAATGACAGTAATATTAGCTTTAGGTGATATTGCATATACAGGAGGATTTTTTCCAACTCTACTTGAAATGGCGCCAAACTACGCCGGCCTCTTATCGGGAATAGCTACATTTGCATCTTATACTATAAGCAGTTCATCATTGTTAATCAATAGTATTATCATTAGAGATAGTACTAAAAGTGATTGGAATAATTTATTAGGGTCTATTGTGGGCATGTTTATATTTATAATTATCTTTTATATAATATTTGGTTCAGCATCGTTACAAAAATGGTCTCGTGCTCAAAATGATATACATGAATCAGCAGTAGCATCACGTTCTACATTATTAATGACGCGGTCGTACGGCATGTCACGAACTATGTCAATGAGACGACCAACTCATATGTTTTAAAAGTATGCAATAAATTTTTAAATTAAATTTCATCCTCCATTTCATTTGAAAAAATATATTACACAATATAAAAAAATCTTATAATGCTGAGCGCTATATTTGGAGTATGGTTATGATAATATTCTCGAAAATGTCACAGAGAATATTTTCATTAAAAAAAAATAATTATTATTTTTCATAAAATTAATAATCATTTCCATGTTTACAGTTGAGTTCTGACGTTTCGGACTCATTGCAGAGTCCATCTTCAGAGTGATGGTTGCTAGTCGGTGGCTGCAACTATACTGTATAGTACTGTATACTGTATACTCTGCAATGAGTCCGAAACGTCAGAACTCAATTGTAAACATGGATATATCCTCAAGCACTTCAAGCAACAAGACAATCCATGAAAGTTTTTACACATTCATAATAATCATTTACTTTATAATTCTTATTCTTTAGTTAAAAATGATTATTATATAACAAATTATATATAATTGACTATTTATTTTTGGTATGATAACTCTAAGAAAAAGTTAAATCGATGGAAAATTTTCCAAAAATATAAATATAAAACTTCATAGGGCCAAGGTCCACGACGTCTGGACCCCCCCGAAATTTTTTCAACATTTTCTAAGTTTGCAAGGTTATCTATTTTTGATAATAATGATTATTTTAAAATTACATTTACTAAATTGTATAGACCATTTGATTATACCATATATTATTATATGTATAACATGGTAAATTTAATGAAAAAAAAAATTACGTGACAGATATTTTAAAACTTGAAATGGAAGTTTTTCAGTAGAAATCTATTAATAAATTGTTATTGATGCCGGCCGACCTGTCGAACAACGACGATAGTGATTAGCGTACAACAACAATGTTTATCTACACAATTTGAATACATAAATTCTCAATCGTTTGTCGTTTTTATACTTCAGTAATGACTGATGACTAAATATTAAATAATAATAACTAACAAACTGTTTTTAGTTTTGTGATATCTTATAAAAAGTTTGGTGGTTTTACGAGTACTGTACTTCAGTGTTACATGACGATTGTTTATATATGTTCATTTTTATTAATTCAGTTTTTTGTAAATTAAAAATGAGTAAACGGCAGAACGTAAATTTACTATCAAATTATTTTTCAAAACTTTCGAAGGTACGTTATATTGTTTAATGAGACAACATATTTTTCAGTTTTTAATTATAGAAACGTAATGCTAATTTGTTTTGAACTTTATTTTAGACGAAAGATGTCCTTAATTTTTCACCAAGAATAGACACGCCATCATGTAGCCATTCACTCTCTAGTCGACGCNTCAACCAAGCAAAATGTTTTTCCGTATTAGTCGACGCAACAACTGACATATCACGTATTGAACAGCTTTCTTTGTGTATACGTTACTTGGAGAGTAATTTAAATGTTGAAAAAGATCAAACAATTAATTATGTTGTGAAAGAAGATTTTTTACAATTTGTTCAGATACACTCTACCACTGGTCAAAATTTGGCCACTGTAATTTTAGATACTTTAAAAAATCTCGGTATAAACTGTGACTATTTACTTGGTCAAGGTTATGATGGCGCGGCAGCCATGAGTGGGAATTTCAAAGGCGTACAGTCTATAATAAAAAAAACACAGCCTGCTGTACTTTATGTTCACTGCAGCGCACATTCTCTAAAATTGGCACTTGCTCATTCATCAAATACACGCCATATCCGTAACTGTATAGGAACAATAAAGGCTGTGGGGAATTTTATAACAATATCGGCGACACGAACTGAATTATTGAAAAATAAAATAAAAGAATTTCTCCCTCAGAATAAATGGACAAAATTAACTTCCATGTGTGAGACTAGATGGGTTGAAAATCACGACGGTATGCTAAGATTTTCAGAAATATTTAAACCTATTGTTATAACATTAGAAGAGCTACAATTATTTACAGACATTGAAATTTCGTCTAAAGCATTACAGTTGTATAAGTGCATAACAACGAGTGAATTTATTATTAGTTTGACAACTGCGACAATTCTCTTTTCTATTACTTTGCCATTGTGTAAAACATTACAGCCGATAAAATGTGATTTGAATGATGCAGTAGAACATGTAGAAACAGTCTTAAATGAAGTAAAAGATATGCGAAAAAACATTAATGTACATTTTAAAGAAATATTTAATAAATCAGAAAAATTATTTATATCCGTGAATGACGAAGAAAAAATTAAAATCCCTAGAATTGTAAGTCGTCAAAAAAATAGAATTAATATTGATACCGAAATTCCTGAGGATTATTTTCGTTTATTTTTTATAAAAAGTACTAGTAACACTGTCAGTTTCTACGGCTACTCCTGAACGAACTTTTTCGATACTTAAATGCGTTAAGACATTTTTACGAAATTCCACTGGGCAAGAAAGATTAACTGGACTTGCTTTATTAAGTGTCCACAGAAACATTTCAATGGATCCAGAAGAAGTTTTTGACAAATTTGCACTTCAAAAAGAGAGAAATATATTATTAGTTTAACATTTAGTATATTTGTCCATCTATGTTTTATGTATGTTTGTGACTATCAGTCACTGAGTGCAAAGGCGCATATTTTGATTATTTAATTAAATTTATCAAAAAATAATTACTTTTGTTTTAGTTATACTTTAATCAAATGATAAAATCTAAATATAGTAAAGACTATAATTATAATACGAATTTGCCCCCCCCCCCGAAAAAATATTCTAGATACGGCCTTGCATAGGACTACCGATTAATGAATGAATAAATATTATTTTAAATTTAGATCAAGAAAATGATCGTTGTCTCGTAAATTTAAAAAATGTATTCTGATTGTACATGATTATTTAAATAAAATGTTTTAATATAATTATTACACCTTCATATTTTTGGTGTAGGATAACATAAACATATTAACTGACAACATTTTTTATTTTTTTAAACTTAATTATATAGTATTTTGTAGAATTAATTTTTACAATAGAACTATTAGAAATCTAAAGTTAGCCAAGTCAGTTATTTGCTGCGTTCTATATGTAAAGTTGACACCTAAACAAAGTTCAAGTTATATGACCGAGAACTACTCTCGATTCCTCATCCATCCTTCTCTACATTTATAAAATAGATTAACACTAAAGTTGTTAATTTAGTTTTAATGTGTTAATTTTTAGTTTTATATGTTATGCTTTTTTCTTGTGTTAAATTATTGTAGCAGATATACATAGTGTAGTAATTATATGAGGAAGTATTGAATTACGTCGATTTTAGTATAATATAAGCCTTACAATAGTAGTAAGCAATTTTTGAACTCTTAAGCAATAAAATAATTCCATATAAAAGGGAAATGCAGGGTAAGCAAATTAATAATGGTGGGAAAAAGAATATAAAAGGGAAACATGAAGAGTATAGGGGGTCGACACGGAACGATACGGAGCGAGACGAGACTGGACGTTTTTGTAGAAGAAACGTCGAGTTACGGGTTAGGTCGTTAACGTAAGAATAATTTTATACCTTTTTTTTTATAAGATTTAATTAATTTTGTGTTAAATTATTATATTATATTTTATTTGACTTTTGTGTTTAATACATTTCGTAAATAAAAAAACTATTTAAAAATCTGGATTTCGCGCAAATATTTAATATTCACGGTGATCTCGAAATTGTGTGTGTGTGTGTGTGTGTGTGCGGCTAGAGTCTAGGTTGGACTGCTGGTCCTTTAGTCAATCTTAATAATTAGTGTACGAGCTGGCTAGTGTTTGGGCTTAACCGTCCTTTAGTGGGTATAGTAAAAAGGTAGTTGTGCTGGTGGCTGACAAGGAGCCACCCTTCAGTCTGCTACTTTTGAGCTAGACTGTGCTGACGGGTCTAAACTCTACCCCTTTAGTAGTCCACTAATTAGAGAGATTGGGGCTGATCAGTTTATCCAACGGGAGGACTCGAGAAGAGCTCGGACGACGAACTCGTTGTCTATATATATATACATAAAACTTTAATAAACCTTTGTGTCTACGTTGGGGCACTACCGACGTACGACAATAGAAACTTCGGCCAGCGCGACCGGATATCACCTCTTCATCCTCAAGCCATTCCCAGTATCCTTACACCAAGGACAACGAATGAACTACAGCGATGACGACCCCACCAATCAGCAACGGTACTATTCTCCGTCTGAGCGGGATCGCCGGACGAATAAATACTAAGAGTACATACTAAGGTGTTGGGGGGTCGACTTCGGTGAGGTCCCCTCCCCACTGCACTAACGATATCATCAACCATAACACGAACTACAGCAGCACCAATAACAACAACAAAAGCAGGAGTACTGGTGGTTCCCGCTCCACCGCTAACATCAGCCGTGACAATGCAGGAGGAACTCAAAGACGACGGCCTGGTACAGGAGATGGACTTGTTCCTCTCCTAACTTACATCCCAAACAGGTAATGCGCAGGGACTAGGTCTTACGCCCCACCTTTCCGATCGCACTACGCGGATCATGACCACACATCCCATAAAACAAGCGACGTAAGTATTGCGCCTTTTTATTTCGTTATGCGACATCGTTATATTTGACTTAAGTACCAGACTCCATATGCACTCACTCAATCGGCATTCATAGTTGATCGGCGGCTTGGTGAGAGGGAGTGTATTTAACACAACCACGGCGCTGTCAACCGTGTGACACCCTGCGGTCTTACTAGCTCCTTCTCATCTACCGGACCGTTACACATACACGTTGTGGGGTAAAAATCCAACAAATACCTAGCTTCGAATATCCGCCGCAATAATGCGTTAGTTAGTCATCTTCGTGACACCGACACTACGTAACGCATCTTTCTTATTCTTATTAACATTGTAATTGTAATCAATTGTATATAAACGCTTGGATGTACTTTTAGCTTTGATGCAAAGCTGAGAAGGTATTGGTTTTACTATAATGTGTTTTTTTTTTGTGTCTATTACCACTTTTTCTCAGCTCTCACCGAACGGATTTCTTTCA